TTCTTTAATTTACATTAAGTATACTTGTAGGCTATGCTAATACTTTTGTACTTTTACTTGAGTAACTTTTGGATTGCATGACTTTTACTTGTAAGCGAGTAGTCCTACACTCTAGTACTTCTACTTTTACTTAAGTACACGATCTGAGTACTTCTCACCTCTGCCTAGTTGTGTAGATTTCAATTTAAAGTGTGGGCCTATACAACAGTGTATTGTTATTATATGGCACATTATAAACATTTTGACTTCCACACATTCACCACCAGACGGCACCACAAGACTGCAGCATCAGAACACTGTGTGTGTGTACAGCTGCAGTATGGACTCACTGAACAGTCGGATCATGTGCACTGATCTATCATTATTTCATTTAAATCAACAGGGTGAATTCTTAAAGCAGACAGAGTCAAAGGAGTAAAGACATCTTAGATTTCTTGTCTGGTGCTATGTAGGAACGGTCTGTGACTGAAAAGGCAGTTCACCCCAAAACAAACAAAAACAAACATGTTCCTCTAACCGGCCTTTATCAATTTAGATTGTTTTTGATTTATTATATTTGTGTTAGTTGCAGAGGTTAAAAATATCCGCTGTATAGATGTCTGACTTGAAGTCAGAAATCTATATGATGGAGCACCATATATCTCCATCATATTTGAGGCCTGGCATGTGGTGCTCAAACCTCCAAAAATACATTTGAAAAGGTTAACATGAGTTCCAGAAATCATGTTTCAATTATTCAAAACTGTCCACAAATTAGCATTTTCATGTTAGAGCCATTAACAATAGAGTCTGTGACACACTTACACTTGACTGCTCAAACTTATCCCACGTTATTTTTCCTTGAATCCAATTAAGACGTGGAAAAACATCTTAACATGTAAAGTAAAGTTACAATTACAATCTTTACAGTGGTTTGCAAGGGCCCACAGGTATGAAATAAGATTGATAATAAAACTATAAAAATGTCAGTTCTTCAAAAAGAGCTTATGGCAGTGTTGTTTTTTAAAATATGCCGGAGTTAAAATATACTTAACTTAAATTGTCATACACTGAAATGCAATTAATTTGAACCATTACTCTTTCTTTGTTGTATTTAACATATCTTACCTTTTTTTTTTTTTTAAATGCTCAGATCTATTAATGTTGTGGGACAATTTAGTTAGGGTAGATTAGTTTAAGATTTAATTCTGTAATAGTTTTTTCATCTTATAATCACTATCTCCAATTCTAGATGTGTTAGTAACTATATTTTGTGGGGGTGTCCCATTATGCCTTATTGTACTTAATTGAAATGGGATTCTCAAAGAATAAGCAATGATTTGGGCACAATCACTTTCATTTGAACTACTAAATAAAGTGCATTTTACAATCTGAAGTAATGATTTGGTTCCAACTTGTCTCATCATCTTACTTCTCGGGTGTCTTGACCTTTTAGACAAAACTATGTAAATAAGCCCCATCTTTTAATCTTCTGGAACAAACCTTAAGTATCCTCTTTGAAATATTCTGTCAGCTTCACTAAACCAATGAAGCAGCAGTCCCTCATTTCTCATCCCTGACAGTTTAATGTGCCACGCCTGAATTAAACCGTTTTTATTGTTGATTCCTTTATTTGTTACTCTGCTCCTTCCTTCCCTCCTTGGCCTTCAGAGACAGTGTGGTTGGATCAGTGGGGCCCCTCCATGGGGGCCGGGCTGCCTTCAGTGAGTCCAGGTGTGTGTAAGGCAGAGATTAGACCTGCCACAGATAAGATAAAGCTTCTTTACTGGGCTGACTGACAGGATCCTTCAGCACAAGTCATTGGACTGGAAATGCTGGATAATGAATTGCCACACTACCACTATACCCTGGTGTCCACATGGGATCAAAACATTTCGAAATAAATCTGTGTGTATTTGTATGTGGGTGTCTTTGCTCTGATCGGATCAAAATTGACAACTTTTCTTCAAATAGAAAACGTTTTGAGATATTGCAAGGACACCCTAATCCTGCTTTACCCTTACCTAAAAACATATACAGTACATTTGTACATAATGTACTAAAAACATATGATTATATCCAGTTTAAAAACTCTCATACTGTCTTTCCGAATGTTACTCCACCTCCCGATGACCAACTGTATTTGAAGAAGCTGTGAAAAAGTGAGTTTTCCATAATGCCTCCCCCTTTAAATAAGCCAGAATTCAACAAAAACGCCAATTATTAAATAGACTAAGAAGGAGGGTCAATTTGACAAGAGATCAATTAGCTACATTTTTCTGTTTTAGCCGAATAAAATAAGAGATTTTATTGTACAGCATAAATAACTTTTGTCTGTGATGTGCGTGGGGGTCAGAAATAAACAACTCACAGTTATCAATCTAAATATAATTTGTAACAAACCGTTAGTTTGAAAGCTGTCCCCACGGTGGATCATTCACATCAACATGGGCACTGTTTTCTGAAAGAAATGTTTCTATTTAAAACCAAATGTTCAATGTTTTAAGCACAACAGACTTTCTTCTATTTACTTACATTGTATTCTTTGGAAAACCTTGACACATAAAACCAAAAATAAAAAAATCTGAATGGAAAGATACAGCTAGCAGTGTGAGAAAAAGTTGTTTTGGTAAAGAGTAAACTAACACTATAAAAGTGAGGAAGTGAGGGATTAAGATACTTCGGAGGTATTTGCTTTATGTTTAGTGAACAGAGCAAATCTGTCTTCATTCCCCTCTCGACCTTTTGATTCCTCACACCAGAGGGCTAATGTCACCGTAATGATGTGCTTTCTCCTGTTGCATAATCAGCCGCTTTTCATCATTATTTACTCTCACTCTGTGACTACTGTTTTTAAGATATCTACAGGATTTCCAGACCTTTCCTTTAATAGCATAGAAGTCAGCTGCCATCCATCAGGGTTGACCCACATCTGCAGCCTCCGTCTGTCCTCCCTACAGTCAGCTAATGGAGAGGAATGGAGCGCTGCCACAGCCTTCACGTTACCTTAAACACTAAACTAGAGCACGGTTATCACATCGATAACAAACAGTGTAAGGGGTGAACAAACAAGACTTTGGTGATGCTGTCCAGCCCTAAAACCACCATACAACTGCACATGACACTTTGTATACACGAAGAAAGTGGATTCAACTTAAACATCTGTGTATTTCAATGTTTCTGTGGCTGCACTGTATACAAGCAATCTACAAATCATGCACATGCAACATTTTGGGAAACCAATCATGCTAAATGCTACATGCTAACCCTTCAATATGACATCATCCGCCTCCACGATAAACAATGATCTTCATAATCTGATAGTGTCAAGGGAAACAGGAAGGACAATAGATAGAAATAACCTCATATCTCAGTGTGTATGTGCTCCCTTTAAACTACAGATGTCATAGCAAAAACCTGCCATAAATGTTACAAACAAAGTTATTAATGGAAAAACTGACCAAGTGCAGAGGGTTTGGCCCCTTACATGGTCCTTAGGAGCAGCGAGCATATCTTTTACATTGACCAGAACACATTATTTTGACAGACTGTCATATCTCTTTTAGCCAGAGGTAAACTCGACTTATTTATGTCACGATACTGATGCTTTACATTCCGTGATAAGGTGTGTAATAGTCAGTACACATGGCAGTGATAATGTCATCATTCGTCCTCCGTATCAGCCCACCTCAGAGTCATCATCACACTTGCTTTTATTAGCAATAAACTGCGAAATGTGTTTGTGTGGGAGCTGCTGGCTGACGTCTTCCTTCGTTTTATACCACTGATTCACTTGCATTTTCAAACCTCCAAATAGAGAGTGATTGTGTATTGTTGTTTTGTTTTTAATTGTGTAAAATTGCAGATATAGAATATATTCGGAAACATTCTCCATTCACGTGTTGAAGAAGTGAAGTGATCTGTAAAGCTTCACACCGCAAATGGTATTCTTTTCATAGCATGCACTGGTATTCTCTATTCCCTGCAGTGTTTATTTCTAAAGGGAACCAAATGCTACAGTTCAAACATGTTGCCTTTATCAGCATATTATATGAGATCAGGATTTACAGCTTTCTAAAATAGGGCTACCAGAGGGGCCTCAGAAATAAGCAATTATGAAGCTGGTTTATATTGAATCCAGAGTCACTAAATCACACCTGGACAGGAAAATGATCAACTTGAAATTGTGTAAATGTAACACTTCAGGAAAGATTGAGGAGATTTGTTTTTGCAGGGGAACGAACAAGATTGTTTGCTAATTGAAATGTATTAAATGACTTTGAATAGAATATAGAGAATATGGGTCTATGTTAACCAGTGATGAGCACACATTTGAATGTCAGTCATGTGTAACTTGCCTTTGTTTAAAGAGAGACATGCTGCCAAGAAAAAAGGTGATCCACCAAACTAAACTTCTATACAAATTTACATTTTATAGGGGATACCCTTATCAAAAAAGTGACATTTTATATAAGGGGGGACCTTTATCAACATTTTTTTATAAAAGGGTAGTATAGTTTGATAGTACAATGTACATGTCATTTTCAAACACTATTGCTCATGAGTCATCTTCGTGGCAGACTAAAAACCAAATTTCTTCATGTTATAACTGACACATACACATATATAGGAACACAAAAGATTCCTCTCAATTCAAACTAATGCACAAGCACTTACAATGGCATAGCTTTTATAAGGGGAATGTGGATTTCTGCTGTTCCTTTTTGGTATCTTCATATTTCTTAAAACTTATTTTAGGTCTCTTTGGATAAAAGCATCAGTTGAGTGAAATGAGTTTTAGGGTCATTTGTTATTAATTAATTAATTCCTGGATCTTTTGGGGGCTTGACTACCATAAGGTACATTGAAAAAAAGAGAAATATGCTGTAAATTAAAAAAATGAAATGAGGCTATGACTGAAAAAAATATTCTGGATGGAGGACACGCCCCCCCGTTCTCCTCCGGTGTCACGCCGCTGTGGGAGGGCCGCCCCCCGGCCAGCCTGTAGCGGATGACGCAGGGCAGCACCGGGGCTCCAGGCAGCCCATCAGCTCTGCGGACCCCGGCTCTGACACACATGTTCGCCTCCTCAGCTCTCCAAAGCATGCCATCTGAGCGATAGGCTGCTTCTGTACGGGAGAAGTCTTGTTTCTACCGCCGACATGAATGAGATCAAGGTTGCTGTGCTGGGCAGTGAAGGGGTCGGGAAATCAGGTAGGAGAGCCGGGCAGCAGGTCACTGCACCTTGGAGGTAATCAAGGGCTCGCTTCTGACTCACTTGTCTGTATGTCTGTCTCCAGCTCTCATCGTCCGGTTCCTCACCAGACGATTTATTGGGGAGTACGCCTCATCTTCAGGTAATGAGACTGTCGTGCAAACACTAATGGCAAACTGACTTTCACTGTTAAATCGTTACTCTATTAAACACGATTCAAATCTCTGTACACTTTCTACTCATTACACCTGTAAAACCCCTAACAATTATATATCTGACACATGGTATATGAGTGAGACATACAGTAGGATACTTTTGTATACATGATACACTAAGTATTTTACATTAAAAGATGTTTCATCCAGTATGTCAAATGCAGTTCTGTGCATGGGTTTCAACAAAGTTTGGCTGTGCAGACTAATGTAGTTAAATGGAAGCAGATTGCTGTGTGTTCAGCCTCTTGTTAACAATTCTGCAGAGCTACAACGATCAGTAGTCAGACAAATAGTACTTTGTAGGCTAATTCTTCATGCAAAGAAATTGGTTCGTTGCAGCCCAATCAACCAGTCATTTAACTTCCATACATTCTACGTCATATTGCTGTTTCAATTACCACACCTCAAACAACCTTTTTGACAAAAATTAAAATGAATATTACGGAGAGGGATGGGGCAAAAACTGGACATCAGTGGCCTGTCAATGTCACTATAGGTCAGATACAAATTGCCTCCATGTCTGAAGCAAAGCTTTGATTATATTCTGAAACTATCACGCTTTAGTCAAAGTGCACAATTGGATCAGCCCTACTATAACTAAACCTTTACCAAACATTGGCATCAAATGTTAAGATTCATAATATTGTCTCCAATTCATTGATCAGATATTTCAAGGTTTAAATCCTGTTTATTTCACTAAATGTATTCTGTAACTTTCTTCTATTGTCATATGCCAACATTAAGTATGGCTATTTATATCCCTATCAGAAGCCCTATTCATTTGGAATGTCAGTTATCAGCCTGCTGGTTTCTAGTTTCTATAAACTGTTTATCTTTCTATCCAAGTCCTCTTATCTCATATACTTGTATCGTCTATTGTAATGTATGGTGAAGCCAGCTCGCAAGCCTTTACCTACAGATGGCACATATTCTGTCAAATTTAAGAGCATGGCTGAATATTTGAGAGATTCTTAAGATTGTTAGTCAGAATGTGGTCTGAACAGCCATTCTGTTTGATACAATTCTGCAAAAGGCCACCTGACAGCAGGAGGAATGACACACATTCGTCTCTGATAGTGGCTCAATAGGCTATTGTTTCCCTGAGAATAATCGAGTTTCATATGAGCCTGTTTACTTCTGCACTCTCAATGAGTGAAGCAAGGACACTGCCTGAGGTGTGAAAGGAACACGTGCACACACAGAGAGAGAAAGGTGTCCCAGTATTGGTGACAAATACAGTTTTAGAAGTATGAATCCACTGTTTTCAGATACAATTTGAACTCATAATTATTCTCTTTTTGATGATTTTCGTCTTGTTTTCCTGCTGCTGTCTTCCACAGAGTGCATATACAGAAAGCGTCTATCAGTGGATGGGAAACAGATCAATCTCCAGCTCTATGACCCCTGCTCTCAGGTGAGGTTACAGATGGAGCAAATATAACAAAATGCACTATTATTGTATTTTGTTCACCAAAAAAAAATAGGTGGCACAGAGGCAGGGTGCTGGTCGGCATATCAACCAGTCACACTTATCATCTTGTAAACCAATTGATACCAGGGGCGGACTGGGGGGAAAAAGTGGCCCGGGGATTAATTGACAGACAGGCCCACTTAATGCGCGGCATTAATCGCCGGCCGCGCGAACAGTTACTGTACTTAACAAAAAAACCCTATGCATTTTACGTTATTTTGACAATTAATTCATATAGGAATCACATTACCTGAGCCCTTGCAGTTGGCCCTAGAGGCAAAAATAGTTACAGGCATATATTTAAGTTGAATTTAATGGTTAAACAGATTCATGGATGCAATAACATTTTTGACCCAATTTGCCTGAGCTTGACCACATGGAAAAAAACATGGGCCGTAGGATGCATCCTCAATGTGGTTGAGACAATTTAACAGGGGGTAATGGGGCAGGTGGTGGACCTTTCATCCTCGCTCTAGGGTGGTCCGGGGGCAAGGCTCCCCTGGCGAAGATGTTTTTTTTAAATGGTTGAAGTGTTAAATGCATGCCAATCTGGTGCATTTTGAGGAGGCAAAATATTAGGGACTTAAAATCTTATGGCAGTCAGGTAGTAGGGCTTGGGAATGTGAGAGCGTAGGGTCCTTCCGGTTCAAGTCCCCGGACCAGACCTCCATTTGGAGTGTGGACTGTCTACTTGGAGAGAGGTCCCAGTTTCCACCTGCCTGCCCTGCCGTTGGTGCCCTTGAGAAAGGCACCGGACAACCCCCTTCGCCCCTCCACTCCCATTGCTCCCCGGCGCTGTTACCAATAGCTGCCAACTGGCTTCTAGACTGCTCCTGGTAACTAGGAATGGGTTAAAAGCAGACGAACACATTTCGACTGTGGTGTGCTGTGATGCATTGCATGTGTTGACCATTTAAAGAGGTTCTCTTAGGGCACTATCCCCTCCAAATCTTCTTCTTCTTCTTCTCCTTCAGCATCCCATATAGGAAACGAACTGTAAAACAGATTTACTTTTGTTCTCAACATTTATATTGAACGATCAAAGTGGGCAAATAGTGAAATGCACCCCAAAAACATATAATGAACCATGCTAGCTAACTAGCCTAAACTCAGTAACAGGAATGTGGGCAAACACGTTCTTCTTCCACCAGCCACCGGATCCTCCTGAAGTCGGACGTCAAACTTCCCCCCTTTTTCTATCCTACAGTACAGCCGACAGCCACTCCCTTGATCCTCCAGGCCCACATTTGGAAATGTTGCCTGGCCCAGCCCAGCTCCGGCCCAGTGAGGGTGTGGCCGCAGTGGTGGAATGGGTCTGGTCCGTGGAATCCACATTACAAAAATAGTGGATGCCGGTTTAGGATTTAGGTAATCAAAAGAAAAAAAAGGGAGTCGGGCCGGAACACTTACAAATGTGGCGATGCCTGTAGGATTTTAGGAAAAAAGTTTGAAAAGAATTTTTTTTCTAATTTTTTAGATTAAAAGATTTTGGCCCTCCGGCCCACCACACAGCACCTGGCCACCGGGTGAAAACTCCCGGTCATCCAATGGCCATGTCCGCCCCTGATTCTAGACTGTTCATTGCAAAACATCAGAATCAAACCATGGATCCACACAACACGGAATGAGATAAACACAGGAGGGAAAGCAAAAACAAAGCAACACATACCAAAGTAAAAAGCGCTAAAACTCTTAATATTATAATTACGTGCAAAGAGGGTACACGCTGCAGCCCTTACACTAGCACAATCATTTTTAACTACAACAATGTAATAATGTATATCTTTTATGTGATTGTCTTTCTAAACATCATCTGTTTTCACGGCATATGAGGCGAAGACTCTACTGATAAACGAGACAGATCCAATAGGTGCTCATTGAGTTCATCGTCGGTCTACGATATCAGCGACCCCGCTACTTCTTCCTCACCGCCCAAATGCCATAGTACACCTCATACAGAAGAGCTACGCCTGTGTGAACTGCAAAAGGTATGGCTAAAATCAATCTCGCACTATAATAATCGGGCACCATGCAAAACCAACCCGGATTGGAAAGTCAATTAATTGTTGTCTTTCGACCCACTAGGAACGTGGACTCGCTCAATATTTCTGTTTTGGTGGTCATGCCACAACCGTGCATGCATGCGCAGGTCATAGTGAGCGTCTGCATTTTGGGGGGGGCGGCGCCAGCTAAAATCTTGCCTAGGGCAGCAAATTGGTCAGGGCCGGCCCTGTAACACCCCAATATAGCTAGATGCTGCTACGACGTTTTTACATAATAAGTAGCATTTTGTCCAATCAAGAATTAAATATTCTTGATTGGAAATAAAAAAAATACATTTTTACTACAGAAGGGAAAAGAAGGGGAAAGATGACTAAGCAGAAGAAGAAGAAGCTGTAGTGCATTCCTGTAGGGATTTATTTTAAACGCAATAAGAAACATGTTATTAACAGATGCAACCAAACACTGTTTTATTCCAGGGAAGATAATCGACCCGGCATTTTAAGATCGAAAACTCGAAAAGTGGGAAAAATGTTACATCTTTGGAATTCGAGTCCATATCCTTTTTTCACACTTCACATGTTCCTACCTTCCTATATACACTGATGTCTGTTGTAATATATCCTGATGTTATACTTAGCTTAAAGTCTTTGTATAGGACAATTATGTAATGGCAAACTATTCAGCTATTATATATATAATTGTTGTAAAGTGTCCTTATTGCAAAGTATTTTTACTGTAAAGCACTTTGGCTCCACCAAAAACCGTGCTATATAAATAAAACTTGATTTGATTTGATATTATTATAAAAAGAACAAAGTTATAATTTGACAAATAGCTATTCCATGAAAAACACAATAATACATTAAGAATGACAAAATATAATACATAATAATAATAACTAACACATTGATTGCGATGTTCTCCAAATTGCATTTCTTCTCAATGTATTTTAGTGTCATTTTAATATTTGTTTTTAAAATGTTTTTTTTTGTATTGCAGTCATCTGATGGAGAACCAGATCAGTAACGTGGAGAGAGGAGCTTTTGATGAGCTGAAGGAGCTGGAGAGACTGTGAGAGAACACACACTCACATTAATGTGCATGCATGTCCACTGAACAGACTTTAACATGAACTTATCAATTGTGTTTTTTTTGTCCCTCCAGTCGCCTCAATAAAAACCATCTCAGCCAATTTCCAGAGCTGCTGTTTCAGAAGAACGAACTCCTCTCTCGACTGTAAGTGTCCAACATCTCTGCTTAACTCTCAACCTTTTAAAGTGCTGCAGTGATGACGCATTTCTGTAGACCGACCCGAAGTTAGCATCAAAATGCATTTGGCCAGTTTTTGTTGATAGCTGGAATAACAATTATTTCTGCGCTTGGTGTTCGAGTTGCTGCATGCTCTAATTTAAAATACATATATTTGATTCTCACAGTTCAAACAAAACAAATAATGCCATGGCTGATGGAGTAACAGGGTCCTAAATGAACTTTTTGGTCTATCTGCCAGTGGCTCGGTGTTTTGTGGTGAAGTAGGTCTATCTCAGCAACCTGCCAAAGGGCCGTTGACCTCATTTATTTTATTTGCCAACATGGATTTTTACTGCCGTTTGGAGAGGAGCGGGGGCTAATTTTAGAACACGGGAAGTAGCCAATTTAGTTTATTGGATTTAGGAGGTCTACTGTATGTGATGCCCCTTGAAGCCTGAACTGCGGTTGCTCTACTCTGGTGAGGAATAGTATGTGTATGTTTGTTGTGTCAGCAGATAGGTGGAGGGTATTTGTATAAATATATTTTTTTTAAAAAGCACGCAGATGGGGAAGAAGGCCATAATGCATTTTCTCCATTTCTTTACATATTTCAACCACTTTGTTTTGTGTGTACATTTAAGGCAAGCTAAGTGTATTTTAAAACCACTCGATTCAAAACTGACACGTTAAAAGCATTTAAACAAGCTAAATCTGACATGTTTAAAATACATGATCGAAAGCTACTGTGTAGTAAAGGATATGAATAGTTATTAGATTCAATAAAAGGCAGCAGTTCTCCTGGAGTTTGCTCCAGATATTTGGAGCATAAACAGCAAACGCAGCTTCTCCATGTTTAGTTTTGACTTTGGGGACGAAATGTAGCAGAAGATCAGAAACCGTACCAAATGATTTTTCTAAAACGGTACATTCAATCTGAATTCTAAGAGAACCAAAACCCGATAAACTCACAATAATCTTACACCTCACAGTCTATACACTCTATATATCCTGGCGTTATGCTAAAGTAGATTTAAACTGCATATTAGCTCATATATTTATATTTTTTAACTACTGAAATTAGTCAAAAAGCATGTCATGTACAGAAGAGACCGTTTTTGCTGCTTTAGGCTGCGTGCTTGCCAGTTTTCAGATCAAAGATTGACCCATTTCTCTCACCTAGAAAACTCTTCACATAGTCTCCCTTCGGACAGCAGAGGCACCGCAAATACTTCCCACAATCCCACAGGAGCGGGAGGCGCAGCTAAACACTTTAATTTGACAACTAAACACACACACACACACACACACACACACACACACACACACACACACACACACACACACACACACACACACACACACACACACACACAGAGCTTTTTTTCCTTGTTTAATAACTGCAAGCTTGGAAGCAGTTGGTTACTATGCGGCTAAACGTCCCTCACACACACACACGCTGCTCACACACACGCTGCACACACACACGCTGCTCACACACACGCTGCTCACACACACGCTGCACACACACACGCTGCTCACACACACGCTGCTCACACACACGCTGCTCTCTAGTCTTTGTTGTGAGTGTGTGTTTGTAGTGCGGCACGGGGAATGTATCTGCTACTGCCTGGAGACGCCGGGATACACACACACAAACACGGCTGCAGAGAGGGAAAGAAAAACAAACA